GGATTCCTTGGGATACAAGCTTGGAGTGTCTGATCAAAAGAGTATGGACATTTTAGTCACTTTATTTGCACAATTTGAAATTGGTTTTCAAAATGGTTGTACCATTTCACAACTCCATGAACAATGTGTTAGTATACCTATGTGTGGGATGCAACTCAAATTAAAAACACACTTAGAGGTTTTTCAAGGAGAAGCAGAAAGTTAATTTATTTGCTATTCTCAAGAATAAGGTGTCCCTCCACCAGTATGATCTGACGAGGGGAGACAAAGACAGGAACAAAGAACCAGATTATTTAGCCCTAATGGGTAAAGCCCCCTCCCATCAACTGTCCACTACTTGGCTCACAATCTCAACGTGAAACTCTGCCATAGAAACAAATAACAACAAACAATATGCATATCTTAGTTACAAATAATAAATATCCATATTTAGCCCCTTAGTTTGCTGAAGTAGTACCAAAGAAGCAATTAAAAATGTGCAGTCAAGCTAGATGCTGTGCTGTTGTGGCAAGGTTACCACCGTAACTGGAATATAGCAACAGGTACAACAAAATATGGGGGAGGGGTTCTTCAGGAGTTTCAGACTTGGTAAACTTTAACTGCTGAGATAACAATGGCATAAAAAGAGGGGGTACTTGGGGCTGGACTCCTGTAATTCAGGTGATTTCTAGTAAACTGAAACTTAGGCCTATCAGGCTGCTACGCCTGCCTTAAGTCACAATACAATTTCTATTTATTCTTCTAAAAAATCTTCACAGGACTCCTCATCCCACTCAGTCTTATCCCAAATCTTAATTACACTGAGGAGTCTTCACTGGGACATCCCATTCATCTAGATTTCCACAACCCCTCCAACATTCATTGTTGTCCTTTTCTGTCATTTTTGCCAATTTGTGGGTGTAAGGTGAAACCTCAGGTCTCTTTTGATTTACATTTCTCTTATTATTAGTAATTTGGAACATTTTTTCATGTGTTTGTGAATACTTTGCAGTTCTTTTGAGAACTATTTATTCATCTCCTTTGACCATTTGTCTGTTGGAGACTGGCTAGTTAACTAGATATAGATAAATACAAATTTTTCTCTCCATCTGTCTCTCTCTCTCTCTCCTATCTATATATGTATGATGCCAAATATCAGAGAAATTTGATACAAAACATTTTTTCCCCATTCAACCACTTTCCTTCTTATGCTAGATGTTGTCTGTTCAGAAACCTTTCAGTTTCAGCTTCTTTCCACTGCTATAAACAGTATTATGTTCTTTCAGTTACTCTAATTTTTTTCAAGATATCCTTATTCCCACTGGCTCTCTTCTCCACTCCCCTGATCCCATCTTCTCATTTGATACTCCAAGTACTAAGTTTATTATGACACCATCTGGGATGGGCAAGATTCCTAGTGAATCTGTTCAATTTGTGATGCCAATACAAGTGGGCCAGATTTTAAGAATCTGTACAATTTAATAGGGCAAGATGGATACTTTCATACAGAAAGATTATGGGAAGATCTGGATGGAATTAAGGAGGGGCAAGTAGCCTGGGGTGGGCCAGGTGCAGAAAACGAGGGTCACAAGGAAAGGGCAGTTAAAAGTGTGTGGTACAGCGACTCTAATAAATCAATTAAACTCAGAGACTTCTCAAGGTGGACGCAAAAGTTACTTTTTATTACAATCTCAGGAGAAGAGGCATCTGCTCCCCTGGTATACTTCCAGAAGGAGAGAGGGGAGGCACAGAAAGCAAAATGAGATTATATACCCTCATCCAAACAAACCTCCACCCACCACTATCCCTTACCCCCATTGGTTGGGAGGTAGGCTTTCATTCTAGGTGCAAAAATTCAAAGACAAAGAACAAGGAAACAGGGCATAACCAATCCAAACATACATGTCCTCATTTAGTAAACCTAATGCTGATGTGATAGTGGTGTGGCAATCAGGAGGGGGTTTAGGGCCAAATTCGTATAGGTTTAGGTAATTTCTAGGAAACCGAAACTTACTGCAATTTCCCCTCCCTAATCCCCTAACCCAGAGACAAGAAAAGGCGGGAAGCTTTTCAAAAGGCAAGCAGTTCAGGTTGGGGGCAGGGTTATTCTTTTTGCTAAGCATTAAAAACAGGGTCTGAGAGGGGGAGGGTTTCGAAAGCAACAATTAAGAAATATTAGCAAGAACCATTCATCCCCTGAGAAGGCTTTACCTCTGAGAGATCATATCTCACAAAAGGATTATTGACTGGGATAGACAGGGTGCCTCAAGCGAATGCTAGGGATCTGGGTTCAGGGGCTGGGTTCCTGAAATTTGTGGGAAAGTTCAGGGACTTTTCCTGGTAGGGGTTCAGCACGAATCCCATCCCCTATCAGTCAAGACATCACCCTCGTGATGTCATTGGTCCTCTTTGACAATAAAGGTTGAACAACAACAAGGAGTAATCATCAGTAGAACCCCCTCCTCACCCATTCCTCTGTAGGCTCTTTTTCCCATACGCAGAGGCCACCTCCTACTAGAAAATCTGAAACAAAAATCTACTACAAGAGTGTGTGAAGGAAAGCTTTTCATTACAGTTCTTGAGACAAGCAGACACACCACCCCCTAGTACAGCACATGCACACCAGTTCAGAAGCAGAGCCAACTTTTAAATGGTTAGTAAAATCCATTCTCTTCCCATTTGAGCTGGGATTGGACCAGCTCATCTGAGCTACACTCTTCCTGAACCGCCCATCCCATGTTCCTCCTTGCCATGTTCACCCCTCCTGGTTAATTTGTCCTGTGTTCAAAAATGGCAGCTATCTCCACCTTCGGGATGTGTCAGTTAATATTCAATAAGCTTATTAAGCAAGAGCATTGGAGAAAAGCCTTTGCTCAGTCCTTGACCCCAACCAATTGCAACCAGCTTAGCCTCTAGGGCTCTGCCTTAAGGAAGCAGTGGTCTTGCAGAGTGTTCTGGGCACTTTCCCATTGGTTGAGGGACTATTTGTAAGATCTTGGAAGTCCTCAGAATTTCTGTGTTCTGCTGTGGAAGCCTAACTTCTAAATCTTTCCCAATACTCCCTTTCCTAGTTAGCCCTTTATTTGACTCTGGCAAAATTTGACTCATTCCTCTTTATCGCTCTGCTTCTCTCCCCACCTTATATACCTTCCCATGTTGGAATGTATATGACAAAACAAAAAAAAGCATTGATTCATCTGTAGGCCAGCAGTCAATAGGTTCTATCCATAATACCCTATGTCTTCTTATTCATTGTTACTTCTTCCAGATTTCTGCCTTTTCTCCATGTGTACATCTAGAAAGAAGTCTCTTTCTGGTCCCTGTTGTCACTCTTGCTATCATTGTCTTTGCTGTGTTTACTCACTCATCCTGCATTTCTGTAGTTTGGGGTGTTGAAGAGGCAAAATAATCTCATCAATTCTAATTTTCTTTCTAAAAATGTTTCATTCTTTTTATTATTATTATTATCTTTGAAGGTCCATATTTTGTCTTGTATGGTTAAGCTCAGATTTACAGGACAGATCATCAAGTTTTGGGTTTTTTCTGGGCTTTTTTTTTTTAAACTTTCTTTTGGATTATAAGTGTCCTAGATCATGGAGACAGCTGAAGTTGCTTTAACTTTGGTACATAATTAATTTCTGCTTTGGAGCAGTTTGAGAGATTGTAGGGATTGGAGAAAATATCAGGAGTAATCCTTAAGCAATCTCTCCTTGAACTGAATTTTTTATCTATCTATCTATCTATCTGTCTATCTATCTATCCATCATCTATCTATCTATATGTATATATACATATTCTTCTATGTTTTCCATTATTTTAAATTTATTTTAATATTTCTTACTGCTTCATGGAGTCATTGATTTCTGTTTGCTCTATTATAAATTTTAAAGGAATCTATTACTTGGATAAAGTTTGCCACTTTCTATTTTAAACTATTCTTTTCCAGTTCTTTCCTTTAGAGCTTTAATTTTTTTATTTTAATTTTTTTACAACATCATGCTTAATTTCCTCTACATATTCATGTAATCTTTATGAACAATCCATATTTTGCTTAGAGTCTTTTCTTGCAGTTATGGAGATATTATCTTCTTCTAGGTTAGACTTTTGGGTATCTATCTCTGCTCTGTTTCTTCTTTTTATATCTTTAGCCTTAGTTCCTGAGCTGGGGCTTTGTGTTAGTGCCATGATCAGCAGATCCTCTTGTACATTTCAGCCCTTCTTGGGTTTCTCTTAGGTCACCTGGGCTCCCATACTGACCTCCACCTCTACGCTTTATGTTAAGAGTGCTGTTAGGTTTAGGTTGGATTTTTGTGGTTGAGCAGGCTGGTTCTTCAGGGCCCTCTATGGAATCTCAGGACAAATTGCAAGGTGTCTCAGAGCCCCACGGCCTGTAGTGTTCCTATCTCAGTGAGAGTTAAACTGGTTTCTACTGTGTCAAATCACTTTAAAGGGCCACATTATGATTTTACAACCATTCTGGAACTTTCTTGGGATCTCTCTCTTTTTTTTTTTTTGCTTCTGAACACAGAGCATTGAATGCTATTGGTATCTCTGAGTATGCTGGGAGGCTTCTATCTTGTTGGCATAGATTTTTTTTTTCTGGCAGATTGACTTTTCTATTGCCTTTGGTTTTTGGATGATTTCTAGAGTTGATAAAGTCACTGCAGTTTCTCATTGTATTTCTTGTTCATGATTTGGTCTAGTGTTGTTTTTAGGCTTGTTTGTATTTTCTTCTGGAGTAAATGTATGCAAGCTGGGTTGCCTGCCTCTGTTCTTAGCTAGAAGTTCTTTTGTCTGTTTGATAATAGGAAACTCACCACTGGGGGCTCAATGACTAAAGTAGCTACCTATGTGATTGCCCATAGAATCCAAAGCAGCAACTGCTTTCTGAGGACCCAATCAAGAAGTGAAGCGCAAATTAGGAATACAAAGTACAGAAAGGAGTGTCCACCTAGTAGCAAGAAGAGTGAAATCTACCACAGGAATAGTGAGAAAATACTGATTGTATCTCCTTTTCCTAGAAGCCATTTTATCCTGTAAGTACCAAAAGAAAACATCTCCTTCAAGATTAGAATGGAAGAAACTTGGACCCAGTGTCTCCTTTGTCTATTATCAGCAAGCTTTTCAAGGTAAGAAGTTATAGACTTGTGGGTCATTGGGAGGGAAAATGATGAAACACTGTATGCAGTGCATAATTTTCCAATTGACAAATAAAAAAGGGCACAGCTTGTTTTCCAAAAAATGTGAGAGAAATTTCAATGAGGCTCTGGAGGTAATGGTCATAAACATATGATATGTAGAAATAAAATGAATTATTTTTGTCACTAAATCTCCCTTTTTCATTTAAGTCCTTAGCTGCACAAAAAATACCATTTTCCAACTGGTTTAGCATCACTGTAACTTACTAAGAGAAGGTAATAGAATATAATGTTTCAGTAGGGAAACAGGGTCTTTCAGCAATAAGGATATCATTTCTTTTTGTTTGTTTGTTTTTATTTTGTTTTTATTTTATTTTATTTTATTTTATTTTTTTAATTTTTTTTCACATGCTTTTGAGTTGAAAATTTTTTCTCCCTTTTTCTCCCCCCCCACCCTCCCCCAAGATGGCGCACAATCTGACATAGGCTTTACATTTACATACCCATTAAACATATTTTCACATTAGTGAAGTTGTAAGTAAAAATTAAAACCAATAGGAGGAACCATCAGAAAGATGAAACAAAATTCAACTTAAGGTAAAAATAAGTGAGAGCGATTCGACTTCCATTGTTCTTTCTTTGGATGTAGACAGCATTTTCCATCCCGAGGCCTCTGGAGATGTCTTAGATCCTCGTAATGCTGAGAAAGGTTCAGTTTAACATTCTTAGTCATTGCATAACGTGGCTGCTATTGTATACAAAGTCCTCTGGGTTCTGCTCACTTCACTCAGCATCAGACCATATAAGTCTTCCCAGGTTTTTCTGAAGTCAGCGTGTTCATCATTTCTTATAGAACAATAGTATTCCATTACATTCATATACCACAACTTGCTCAGCCATTCTCCAATTGATGGGCATCCTCTCGATTTCCAATTCTTTGCCACCACAAAAAGAGCTGCTATGAATATTTTTGTACATGTGGGAAGGATATCATTTCTGTTCCTTGTTACTACATGAAATCTGCTGCATTAGTGATAATGTCCAAAGTTTAAAATAAGTACATATGTCAATGGGGATAATAATAGTAACTGTATCCTAGGATTGCTCTAAGAATCAAACGAGATAATATTTGCAAAGTGCTCTATAGACCTTGAAGTGCTATAAAAATGCTAGCTTTTATTGATAGGGAAGACCAAGCAGATTTTATATTCTGCTGCTCCACCTTTTAAACCAAGCCTTCAGAGACTATGTCTTGGAGGGGACAAAGCCACTTCAGATTTTCACGTGGGGACAAATCTTGAAGGTCTTTAAGAACCTAGGGTCACTCATATGACATAATGGGACATTAGAGAACATCTTTAATGGGGGAAATTTATAAAATATTCACTAACTCTTTTCCACAACAACCTAGAAAATACACCAGACTGAATTCTGATCAGGAAAGCCAAGAAAACGTCATAAGGAGTCTTTTTTCCAGCTACGTAGGGAGGAGAGACAGAGAGGTCTGAGGACATTGAGAACAAAGTGTGGTCAAGAGAATATGTGGAATATTTCAGGCCTCTGTAACTGCAAGACAGTCAAGAGAGAGCACCAGAGCAGAAAGAGATCCCAGAGAATCCCCAGGTTAACGATCCAGAGGTTGTCATTAACACGGGCCCTACCTGTGTGCTGAGTAAGGAACAAATTCTGGAAATGCAGCTGTGTGGCTCTGAACCCAGGAAGACAGCTGTGACTAAATTCCAGGCTTTAACCCAGTGTGTAAGCCTGACTGATGACCAGGGCATCTGTCCCAGACCTAAGAGATGTCTTTCTGAAACAGGCCATTAGTGGCTGAGTCCAACAGTGGTCTACTGAAACATCCAATCAGGAACTATCAGAAAGACATAATAGTGGGTCAAAGCTTGTAGAATTCAAACCAGGAGATCAGTGAAGAGACCTCACATGAGATCACAACCAGTTTGGAACTCTGATTAACATAATGATTAATCACAATTCCAAAAGACTCATAATGAAACATGATATCCACCACCTAACGGAGAGCTGATGGATTCAGAATACAGATATCTCCTCTCCTTTCCTTTCCTCTCCCTTCCTTTTATTTTTTTGAGAGGGGGGAACTTGTCCAATGAGGGAATTTGCCTTATACAACTATACATTTTATGAGTTTTATTTTTCTTGCTTTCTCAATGGGTAGAGTAGGGGGAGGAGAGAGGGAAAGAATTTGGAACTAAAAAAATAAAATTGAATTTTAAAAGATTTATTGAAAGTATTAAGCTTCTCTTATCCCACTTTATTAAAATTATAAGTATAATGACAGTGTATTTATTATTTAATTTTCAGTATCTTACCTATATTTCTTTTTGTTTAAAGGTGATCTTAAGGATAGAGCTGAGATGCTCAATTTCAGCATCAGAATTAAAAATGTGACTAGAAAGGATGCTGGACAGTATCGCTGTGAAGTTAGTGTACCATCTGATCAAGGCCAAAACCTTGAAGAGGATGTTATTGCTCTGGAAGTATTAGGTAAAGAATGAAAATTTTATTTTCATCTAGTGGTATTCTGATATGTGAGTGTATTATTATGAATTCTCTTAAAAATTTTCTTAATCATGTCAGCTCTTTATTTCCTATTCCTATGTAGAATATTATAGAAGATGAAATAATGGTAAATTAAGTAAAGAAGTAGCTATCAATTTTAAGTCTTGGCATAGAAATTCCTAACCTAGGGTCCATGACCTTGTATATATGTCTATTTTTCTAACATGTTGATAATTATTTTTCAATTTAATTGGTTTCCTGTGTAATAGTATTAATTATATTTTATGCACTTAAATAGATTATTCTGAGAAGGGGTTGGTAGGCTTAATTAGACTGCCAAAGGAGTCTAAGATGCAAATAAGGCTAAGAACACTTGGTTAGAGGCCCAGAAAGATAATGTGTCCTAGATCGTACAAGAGTTTGTAGCCGAGCTGGGATTAGTGCCAGCCTTTTCTGATTCAGTCCAGTACTTTTTCCATCATTTGGCTTCTATACATTGGATGAAATAAATTCATCTCTTCCAACAATGTGGCACAATTACAAGGCAAAAGTGATGGACATTCCAAGAGAGTCACTGTGATGTAGCTGAAAAGATTATAATTCAGAGTTCCTATGTTCTTGACTATGTCATTTGACTAGCAAGATCATTTAAATATGATCATGAGCAAGTCAGATTCTTCACTAATTAAAATGGCAGTGTTTGACTAAATGATATCCTTATTGCTCTTTGGTACTCTAATATTATATGATTCACTTGTTTGTTTTCGACAGGACTCATGATTTCATCAGTATAGAAAACTCTTAGTGAAAGACTAGATCCCAGAATAAATCCCACCTCTAGTACTTACTAGCTGTGTAATCCTGGGAAAGTCGTTTAACCTTTATCTTGGCTTCAATTTCCACATCTGTAAAGTGAGAGTAATAATGAATAACACCTACTTCATAGGGTTGTTATGAGAGTCAAATGAGATATATATGTAAAGAGTTTTGCAAATCTTAAAGAGCTATATAAATGTTATTATTGTTATTGTTATTATTACCAATGTAGACCTGTACCTCCTAGTCTTAGACTTAGTTGCCTGGGGCTCTGAGAAATTATGTGACTAACTTAGAGGAGCGTCTGCTCTAAGTGGATCCTTAATCCAGAGGTCCATCAGGAGGTCTGGTCAATTCTGGAGTTTTCTTTGAGTCTAAAGTTGGTTTTCAATCTTATCTAGGCAGTCTGTAATCCCTGGGTCCCAGATTAGACATGAACATCTCATCCAATGGAGCTAATCAACCTATTTCCCAAGATGTCTTCTAAATGGGCTGGGACAGACTCTGGGTTGGACTTGATCTTTTTGTCTGGATAATGATAATAACAATTGTAACTCATATACTTCACATTTTATAAAGTATAGTACACTGCATAAGTGTGAGCATAAAACCATTAGGTGGAGGGAGACCTCTGAAAAACAAAAGAATGTGGTACAGATTTATGTATTTTTGCCTGGCAATCAAAATTTGCATTTACTTTACAAAATTAATACCATATGTCATCTGTTGTTTAGTGGCACCCGGTGTTCCATTATGTGAAGTCCCCAGCTCAGCTCTGAGTGGAACTGTAGTAGAACTAAGATGTCAAGATAAAGAAGGTTTTCCAGCTCCTGAGTACACATGGTTCAAGAATGGTGTTCATTTACTAGAAAATCCCAAAAGTGGCCACAAAATCACCAACATCTCTTACACAATGAATAGAAAAACTGGGACTCTGGTAAGTTTATTTTGTTCCTTAATTAGTAAAATGTTTACAACAATACAAACCTATTAATTATTATGTACTAGCCATTTGCATAGCTTAGTGGGCAGAAGGCCAGCCCAGATGGGAGATTCAAATGGGAGATGGGAGTTCAAATCTCATCCTTTGACATATAACAACTGTATGGCCGTAAGCAAGTTGCTTAATTTCTTGTTGCACCTAGGAAACTTTCTTAAGACTTAATTGCAGAGGTATTATCAACTTGCCTTGGTGGAGAGATTTTCCATACCAGGAGTTTCCTGTCAGTTTCACAGGCCCAGCCCCACCCTTGTCCTCACCACTCACCTCAAAAAATAAATGAATATTAAAAATTCTAGAGCTAAAATTATGGAGAAAAAAAGACAGTCCATTGCCTGGATTGCTGCTACCTATGGCAGTAGGGACAGTAGGGAAAATGTAACAGGAGTCTGGTATAGAGATAGACCCAAATGAGCAAGAATGAGGAGGAGGCCTGCTGTGGTGGGGAGGAAGACAGATATGGAAAGCTGAGGATAGGATAGGCTGGGGCAGGGTCCACAAATTCTTATGGTGGAGATTTCAGGGAGGTGGATGACAAGCTTCTTCTGCTGTCCTATTCCCTATATGTAAAAATACAGAAAGCATAGATTCCCTTGTTGATGTTTGTCCTTCATTCTTGAAGAGGACCATGACATCTGGAAGGTGATACCATGACTTGCAAGTGAATTCGATTTAAGTGAGGAAAGGCTGTGCCTTTAAAGACTCCTTTATTAGTCACCAAGCAAATACTTAAATATTCTCAAAAGATATTCTGATCATTCACTGCCCAAGCAATGAATGTCACAAACTACTTGTCCTATGGTGTTATCTGATTTGGTAGTCTCCTTTACAATTAACTCAGATTTATTTGTAATATATGACTGTTCTGCCTTTGAAGTACATATGGGAGTTGACCATTATAAGAATAAAGTTTATGGGAATCTCTAGGTGATCTAAAAGTAAACAATATACTTGAAAATAATCTGTTAGTAAACTTTTTTTATTTCCACATTTGTGACATTTTCTGAGAGGTAGGAAGGAACATCAGACTTCATTTTTTAAAAGCAACATTAAATATTAATTTTAAAATGCCTGCATTCCACAGAACATGAAATGTTTAAAACCATTATTATTATTTTAAAACTCAAAAGCAAAAATGTTAAATCCTTTTTTAAAAATTCAGCATTTCTTTTCACAAAATGTGTATTTGTAGTTAGAAACTACACTTTGGATCCTTATTCTGTAATAGGCTAAAGCATACTAAAAAGACGCTCCTTACTGAGAGCTTGCCCTCATCACTTTCAAGAGTCAGCAGGGGCAGTCAGCAGGTCCAACAGTTCTTATGCTGATGTTTGTGGGAGAGGAAAAAACTGCTGTCACACCTTGCTATATTTACTTTTTAAATTTATTTTTTCTCGAAGCAGGTGATAGAACACAAAAGCATGTAAATATATTTTCCATGGATAGCTACTGCCCTCGAAAGATCTTATGATGTCAAAGAAATGATCCAAAGAGAAATTCATCATGTAATTAAATAATAGGGGCAGCTGGATGGCATAGTAGATAGAGCAGAGGGCCTGGAGTCAGGAAGACCTGAGTTCAAAACCAACCTCAGACACTTACTAGCTTTGTGACCACGGGCAAGTTACTTAACCCTGTTTTCCTCAATTTCTTCGTCTATAAAAGGAGCTGGAGAAGGAAATGGCAAACCACTCCAGTATCTTTGCTGAGGAAATCCCAAATGGGGTCACAAAGAGTCAGACACAACTGAAACAAGTGAACAACAACAGATTAAATAATAGACAATACAGGCAGTGTATGTTTTGTAAAGCTTATGATGATCAATGTGTGACTTCCATCTCACTACTCATCATAATTAGGAATGAATGCCATTTTGTTATTTTATTCTAATTTATATTATGAGAGAAACTATTATTCATAACCAATCATGGGAAAAATCCACACTTTTCCCCTATTCTATTCCTTTGTTTGAAGCCCAGCCTTTAAAGAGCATTACCAACCTCTGCCAAATTTACCCCACTTAGACCATCATATCTAACTGAATTCCTGCCCGTTGTGTTCCACTAAGGTTTGGGTGGAGATAAATTCTTTGATTAAATTGTCCAAGACTGGGGGTGATTTGGAAGTAAATGACATCATCAAAGTTGTGTCCCCCAGCCACTCATTAAAACAGTTTCACCTCTCATTATAATATTCATTCTCTTTCATTACTTGTTAACCAATCAGAGTCAATTGCCATCCTCAGGAGTACCCACTCTGCTAAGGGTATGTAAGTGTTGAGTGGGTTCCATGAGGAGTCTTTGGCATTCAAGAGTGTCACTGACCCCTTTTATTAATAATATGCTAGCAGTATTAATAAAATGATTAATTACCCAGAAACTTTGTTTCTCAAACTTTTTAAACGTCACAATTATCAATTGCCTTGAGTTTATGGTGACTGTTCTGGAAGTAGACTGCCTATTTTGAGAAAGGGAACAACATTCTTGTGGGGTTGAAATAAGCCAAGACTACTCTTCTCCACTTTCCTTTTTCTTTGCCATTAAGAAATAAATAAGAGGGACATGGTAGTGGAGGAAGAGCAAAAAAGAAGTAGCAGGACAAATAGTTTAAAGTACTAGAGATAAAAGACAAAAATGAAATATCCTTGCCTTCAAGGAGCTTACACTCTACTGTGGGAAATGTACATATTAAATGTAATGGGAGGAAGAGAAAGGAGAAAATGCAGGGAGAAAGGAGGACTAAATCCTCCACCTCAGTTGAGATAGTCACAAGATATAATCACAATGAAGTTTTAATCAATTAACAAGAAGTTAATAGCTTATTATCTTTTTATAAATTATAAACAATTTCTCTGAGTCAGAAGGAAGCAATTGTCATGGGACAGCAAAAAAAAAAAAGTGGGTTGTGAAGGGCTTCAAATACCAGAGGAATTTATATTTGATCCTACAAGAAATAGAAAGGCACTGGAGTTTGTTGAGTATGGAAGGGATGTGCTTTGGAAAATCACTGTGAGAAGAAATGATCTATCAGACCTGTGGCTAGGTTCATGACTAAACAAAAAATAGGTTCACAGGAGATAATATGGATACTTTTTTAATTATACAAAATTTAAAAGTTTTTGCATAAACAAAACTAATGCAACTAAAATTAGAAGAGAAACAAAAAAGTGAAGAGAAATTCTTCAGTAAGTTTCTCTGATAAGCCTCTCATTACTTTTTTTAAATTATTTATTTTACATTAAAAAAAATTTCAATTTCTTTTCTTCCTTCCAGCCACTAAGAAGGCAAACAGTATGATACCCATTATACGTATGCAATTATGCAAAACATATATCCATCTAGCTATGTTGCCAAAAAAACCCAAGAAAAATAAAATGAGAATATTATATTTCAATTTATACTCAGAGTTCATCAGTTCTCTCTCTGAAAGTGGGTAGAGTTTTTCATCATGAGTCTGTCAGAATTGTCTTGGATCATTGTATTGATCAGAGCAGCTAAGTCTTTCACAGCCAATAATCATTATAATATTGCTTTCACTGGGTACAATGATCTCCTGGTTCTGCTCACTTTACTTTGTTCATATAGGTCTTCCCAGATTTTTTTTGAAACCATCCCACTCATCATTTCTTATAGCATGATAGTGTTCCATCATGGTCATATACCACAACTTCTTCAGCCCTTCCTCAGTTGATGGGCATCCCTTCCATTTCCAATTTTTTGTCACCACAAAAAGAGGTGCTATAAATATTTTTGTATATATAGGTGCTTTTCCTTTTCTTTTCTCTCTTTTGCATACATACCTCGTAGTCATATTGTTGAGTCAAAGGGTATGCATTGTTTTATAGCCCTTTGGGCCTAATTCCAAATTGTTCTCCAGAACGGTCAGACCAGTTCACAACTTCACCAATAGTTCTTTAGTGTACCTGTTTTGCACATCCTCCCCAGCTCTTGTCCTTTTTGATAAGTGTGACGTGATACCTCAGAGTTGTTTTAATTTGCATTGCTCTAATCTATAGTGATTTAGAGCATTTTTTCATATTATTGATAACTTTGATTTCTTCTTCTGAAAACTGCCTCTTCATGTCCTTTAGCAATTTACAGAGTATCCTTTTATTTTTATAAATTTGATTCAGTTTCCTACATATTTGAAAAATGAGACCTTTATCAGAGAAACTTGCTATAAACGTGTTTTATATTACTTCTTTGTCTAGAGAACTTTTAAGCAAAATGTAGTTTCTGTGCTTATCTCTTTTAATTAGGTCTGTTTTATTTTTTCTTTGACTGAGATCACGATTGCTATCCCTAACTGTTTTATTTCAGCTAACTCATAATAGATTCTGCTTTAGCCCATTATTTTAGCTCTGCGTGTATCTTTGTGTTTCAAGTATACCTCTTGCAAACAACATATTGTTAGATTCTGGTTTCTAATCAATCCTGCTAACAACTTCTGTTCTATGGGTGAATTCATCCCATTTACATTCACAGTTTTGATTATTAACTGTGTATTTCCCTCCATCCTATTTTCTTCTGTTTATCCTTCTCTCTCTTTTTACCCTGTCTCTTCTTAAGAGTTTGTTTTCTTCTGACCACTGCAAGTTTTCAGTACTTTCAAGGTTGTGTGATCTTAGGAGAAGTGTGGTCACTGCTCTCCTTGTTTGAGGTCTGTTCTTTACCCAGGAAGGGCCCTCTTCCCCTGTAGCCACAAGTGCTAGTGCCCTTCTCTGCCTTGGAACTGCAATCAGGGCCCCTGCTCCCTTGTGACCAACCATAAGCACTTCTCTCTGACCTGGAACTATAATCCAGAACTGCATATGGGCAATAGAGTTGCCAAAGAGCACCCAGCCACACATTCAGTGCCAGCAAAGGGTCCCCTGTAATTTCTTTCTGATCAGTTGTCTAACCCCCTTACCATCTCTGGTCTGGAAGATCCTGAAGCTGCTGGTGCCACTATTATAGCCACCTCCAAGGCCCACCCCTACTACTGTTGATATGTGCACTCTGGGCTAGCCCTTACCTGGATGTCACAGACCTCTTCTGCCAACCTCCTAAGTTGCTGTAGACTGGAAAAAATGTTTCACTCTGACCTTTTGTTGGCTCTGCCACTCCAGAATTTACTTTGAGGCATTATTTTAAAGTTGTTTGGAGGAGAATGCTGGGAGAGTCCAGCTGAGTTGCTGCCTCTACTCTGCCATCTTACCTCCACCCTCCCATTCCTTTCCCATATTCTAAAAGTATCATTCCTAAGGCACATAGGAAACTGAGTCAAATTCATAAGAATAAGAGCCATTTCTCAAGTGACAACTAATCAAAGGATATGAATAGACAGTTTTCAGAGGAAGAAATCCAAGCTATAAATAGCCATATGAAAAAATGCTCTCAATCACTAATAATTAAAGAAATGCAAATTAAAATAACTTTGAGTTACTACCTTCTACTCATCAAATCAACAAAGTTGACCAGTAAAGGAATGATAAATGCTAGATGAGAAATGAGAAAATCTGTACTTTAATGCATTATTGGTGGAATTGTGAACTGGTCCAACCATTCTGGAAAGCAGTTTAGAACTATAACTAAAAGTTATTAAGCTGTACATACTCTTTGACCTAGTAATACAACTACTAGGTCTATACCCTCAAAGATATCAAACAAAGAAGAAAAGGACCCATATATACAAATGTATTAAAAGAGCTGTTTATGTGGTGGCAAATTGAGGGATTACTCATCAATTGGGGTATGACTAAACATGTTATCATATATGAAGGTGATGGATTACTATTTTGCTATATAAATGATCAAGGGGATGGTTTCAGAGAAACCCTGAAGGTTTGTATGAACTGATGCAAAGAGAAGTGAGCTAAACCAGGAGAATAATTTTTTTTTTATAATTTACAACCAATATTGTAAAGACAAACATCTTTGAAGACTTCATAACTCTGATCAACACAGTGACAAACCACAGTTCCAAAGAACTTATGATGAAAAATGTCATTAATCACCAGATAGAGACTCAGATGAACTCAGAGTGCATGTTGAAACATATTTTCTTTTCTTTGTTTTTCTTTTTTTTTTTCTTTTTTGGGCATGACTAATGTGGAAATGTGTTTTGTTTATGCATACTTGGGGGTAAGTTTTGTTTTTCTTGCCTTCTGTATGTCTGAGAGAAGGGAAAAAAGGAGAGAGAGAATTCACAACTGAAAATGTAAAATTGAATTTAATAAAAATAAGAAAAGAAAGAAATCTCTTTACCAGATTTGTCAAAAATAGATTCAAATGAGGAGATAATTGTGTCAGGAACACCAATTAGAAATCTATTTTAATAGCCTATTTTAATTTAATAAGATGATGAGGGCTGACTATATTAGTTGAGAGAAGACAACACATGTCAGAGATGTTTGGGAGGGCATCGTGGGAGACATGAGGAGAGAACCAGTGGCCCAGTCTGTGTAGGAAATGAGAAAGAGAATCAATTAGGGAGGAGTAAAAGTACTGCTTTACTCTTGTGTGGACCCCACTGAGATTAAACAGCAAGATGTCAATCTGTGTTTCCTTTCTCTCTTCCTCAGTTGTGGTCAACAAAATTTCCCAAGGAGTTAAGGCTTCTGGGAAAACCATATTAAAATTTTTATTCAAAAATCTATCTCTGTTTATTTCTCAATTGCCCTTTTTAGTCTTCTCTCTTTTCAGGGTTGTTTCATTATGATTAGAATATATAATAAAGCACTGAATTAGATTTGCCAAGTGCTTAAAGAACCTCCTGGAAGAAAATTTGGCATAGTTTCATTAACTCCACTATTACAATGACTTAATTTTTTTTCCTTTGGAAAGTACATGAACTCAGTGTCAGATTATGGCGAATCTAATTAATAACCAAGGATCCTTGGATACTAGAGAAATCTGAAATTGTGCATACAGTTTGTACTCAAACTTTCTAAAACTTGCATTGATCATTTCTCCAGCATCACTAGCAGAAAATTTGCAGAGCTGCTACAGCTGATACCTTATTAGCTTGCTCTGTCAAGTTAAAGGATTTTTACTTACTCACTCTATGAAATTCTGAATGAGTTATAAACTGAAAATAACAAGACAAAATACTATATCATTTGATATAGAAAAATCTACTCTGTGTAACAGATCAGACAACTCAAAAAAGTTGTTGTACAGTATGATCTACTTAATAAGTTCACTACTTAATGAAAATGACTTTTTTTTTCTCCAAAAATAGCAATTTAACAGTGTTTCAAAACTTGACACTGGGGAGTATTTTTGTGAAGCTCGCAATTCAGTTGGATATCACAAGTGTCCTGGGAAACAAATGCAAGTTGGTAAGCAAAAAAACAACTAATTTAAGGGGCAAATGAATAAGTGTCTATGTTGGTGTGGGTTGGATTGCTGAAGGATTTGGCACAGATGGAATAATCAGGTAGTAGAATTGATATTTAGGAAGAAATGACTTTAGAGTTGCGGAGATTTAAGTTATGCTCTTTCATTCATCAAAAAAAATTAGCATAGAAAATAGTAATAACACATATTACTTATTTTTCTTTATCATAGGACTCTGAAGGTTGTCCTAAAGTTTGACCTTTTTCTCTTTAATTGTTCACATAAGCTCCTATAATTTGTAAGATGCAGGGTTGGGTTTTTTTAAAGTATTTCAAGCAAATTTAGCAAGGGCCAGATTTTTTTCCCCTTTCTTCCAGTCCTGTCCAGTTTGAATAAATGGGAAAACAAAGTGTGTGTACCCTAAAGTAATTATGGTGATTGTTAGGGCTGATAAACAAGAAGAAACTGGAGTGATATACTAGTTATCTAGTCCAAACCTTCATTTTATATATGATGAAACTGAGAGCCAGAGAAATTTTCCCAAGGCTAAACAGGTGGTAAGTGACTGTGGTAGGATTCAAACCCAGGTCCTCCAAATCCAGGACTCTTTCCACTGTACCATGCTGCCTCAGGAGGGTCTTTGCCCTCATCTTATACATTAAAGAGAGTACAAAAAGATGAAACTCAGAAGAAGCAGCATAGCAAGATAAGAGTTGTTGTAACTGGAGTCCAATATTTGGTATTGTGAATGACCAGGGAATTTATTTAGCACTTCATGGTTGTTTCTGCAAGGATTTCTACTTTGTTTTCTTCCTTATCTTAATTTTTTTTCGGTAATATAGTGAATCATGTGATCAGTCTCAGTGTAATAGCAAAGTGCCATGCATATTTTTTTCCAAATTTCTTGAGATAGTAACCTGAAATAATAAAACAAAACAAAACAAAGCAATATCCATCCAATTGTACCCAGGCCTTTCATGCCATGAGTCTTTGACACAGGGATTGCATTTGGAAGGTTCATTCAGGATTATACATCAGTGTATGTATAATGAGCTCCCCAAGAAGATCTAGATAATAAGATCCGGATAGTCCTTGGAGTACATATTGATCACTTCCACTGACCAATAAGAGTATTATTTTATCCTTCCAAAGCACAAATCCTTTAGCAGGTGTCTTGTACCTGCAAGGACAATTATGATTACCTGTATCAAAAAGGAGTCATGATTGAGGCAGGAAGAACCCAGTAGACATTCAAAGGAGAAAGAACTTCAACTCTTGAACTTTTCTTCCTCTGTCTGGAATGTGTAGAGTAGAATTCTCTCTTTGGGACTCCCCATGACATGGATGGGAAAGAAAGAATCTTCTTCCCACCCCATCTATTCACCTACCCACCTATAGAAGCTGTTCTCACATGACAGCTGGCAAACCTGAGGGCATATATTTTGTGTCCCATTTTATCTCTCAGAGCCATGACAGTTAACTCATTCCAAGTGATAGTAAAACTACTTCTATCCAAAATTCTATTCCATCTAAAAGCTAAAATAACAGTATCAATAGTCTCTGAGAGAAGCTGATATTGCACTTCTATGGTTTATGAGATGGAGGAAGTCTTAAAAACAGAGATGACTAAATCTGTTACAGATTTGTGTTATCTGATCTCTTTTTGTTTGTTTGTTTTTAAATCCATTTATAGAACTTTTATTCCATTTACATCAACTTAAGATACATGTTTTTAATAATTACACTTAGATTGTTCATGAAAATGTCATCAGATATTATACAAAGCTAGCTATCATTCCTGTTTCCTGTTTTACTGTTATTTCCTGCTATTTCCCTGTTAATTATTTTTTACAACACATGTATGTGAGGCAAATATAAAAAAAAAATCACAAAAACAAATAACCTAAATACATGAGTTTTTTGTTTTATTGCTGTGCTTAATATACAGTGACTTTAGAAATATGAAATCATTTATTTTTACTGCATCTTTACTTGTACATTTGTTCTGTTATTATTAGGTCTTTAAATACAAATATAATGAATAAAGCAAAAAATAATGAAGGTAAATAGCAGGTAACTTTACAAATAATGGAACATGAACTATTTTTGCCTTTCTCCAGAGTAAATTAGTTATGATTGTAGTTGTAAAAGTGTTCCTTAAAACTTTGTCTTAAGGAACATTTTTGCAACTGCAGTCATAAGAGTGTGCACATTGAGATTGTGTATTTCACAGATACACATAGTATGAAATGTAATATCTATAGGGCACTTATTTCCACCACAGCCATGAATGTGCCAACCCCAAAATATCCACAACAACTATACCTGTGGCTGAAACTAATTAATTATCCCTTTGATCTACCACAACTACCACCACCACCATGATAAGCCAATTATGTAGGCAGTTTTCTTTGCTCAGATGTGGAAGCTGGTTTAACGTTGGCCTTATGAAATCACAATGTCTAAAAGTACTATGCCAAGCATGTAAAATGTGTATGTAAATTTCATATTCCAATATTGACCACCTCTGATGAGAACAGATAACTCCCCAAATATTTCTCGCTGAATATTAAACATAAACATAATCTACTCCCCTAATATTAAACATTAAAAAAATGGGAAATGTAGGAATCCAAATAGAAGTAACATAAATCTCTCATAAGTCACAAATAAACACTTTGCGTGACAGTATGGGTAACAAATGGTATTCTGTGTAAATTTTAGAATGAGGCAGAAAGAACTTGGAAGGCTTGCATAGTCTCCTCTCCTTCTTCTGCTTCATCTGCATTTCCTTGGGTGTCTAATGACCACAATATCAAGTTGTCTCTCTGTAATTGCATTATTACTCTTTTGTCTTTGCATGCTTCTTCACTCAATTGATCAATTCAGCAATAGCTTCATCAAAAGATGTCTTTGTAAGGGATCAAGCTTTCTCTGGAGAATTAAGGATCTCAAAGTAGAAAACACAGAAAAGTACAGGGCCAGACCCAATCTTATGGATGTGTTGGTTGTAACTCCTTTTTGCTGATTTCAAATGCGTCTTGATATGCTTGTTGTGATTGATCCTCATTTCCTTTCTTGTTATCACCAGCAGCAACCTCAGCCAAATAATAGTAGTAATCTTCTTGCATTTTCAAATAGAAAACTTTGCTTTTTGTTTGTGAAGCATAAGGAATCACAAACTTTTCCAACAAAGAGTACATTATTGCAGATATCTTAGTTTGGTCTCAATTTTCTGTCTGTATTCTTGGATCATTTGCTGTCTTTTCTCAATACCTTCTATCTTTTGCTCAATATTGAAATGACCCTTCAAAATGACCTCTGGGCTCCTATGACATTTTTTTAAGCAATAAAGAGAAGATGCTCAGTTACAGACTTCATAAAGGCTGCTTTGTCATTGTGTTTCATATACTTCTCAGCCAGTTTGGCCTTCTGAACCATCTCATTTTTATCCATGACTTGATATTCTGTGCTCAGAGTGGGTGGTAACATTGATGCAGGAGTACAGCAGTCTCTGACAGGAAGCAGTGGCCTGTATTATCTGATCTCAATTGGATTGTCACAGATACAAGACTGTATTGAGAGTGGGTAAGGGCCTTATTTTGACCATGACAGGGAAGGAGTTCCCTTCCACTAGGGCGTAGGCATTGAACCCAGGAGTTCTGGTCCGAGTTCTGGTCAGTGCCTCATGGATCCAAAGGGGACACTATGGGAGGGGATTTGTTTTCACCAAGGCTCTCAGCCCTTGCTCTCTTTTGTGAAGGTTGGGGGACTTGCCTACAAAAGTGTGGCTGCCAAACATTCTAATCCCAGCCCTGGACAGCAGCTTATAGATCTAGAGGGAAGAGAGGAGTTCCCTGTCACCAGGTGTTTGAATTCTCAGCTGTTACTCTTTTTGGTAAAGTCACATGATCTTACCCACAGAGGTACAACTGCTGAAGGTCACAGCTGAAACTGACCCAGTCCTGGTCTGTGACTCACAGACCTAAAGAGAAAGGACTTCTCTACTACGGAAGCAAAAGGTTCAATGACCAGACCTTTGATTACTTCAGAGAAGACCTCGAGTGGCAGTAAGGCTGCTTATTCCACCTGGTCCACAAACTTGTGGCTGCCCCGATATGCAATCTTAGCAATGGTCAGTGGCACATGAGCTAAAAGGGAACATTAGTGGTTAAGGCCTCTTACTCATAAAAAAGGTTCAGATAGATTTTGACAGGAAAGAATGATCAAGGAGTCACTATGGGAGGCTTTATTAGTGGTAAATGGACATACCACTAGCAGAGGCTGGTGGCTGATGTGAACCAAGTCCAGAGGCCAGTGACGTGAACAGCAAAACCTATGGGGGTAGGGGGTAGGGAGTAGGGTGGAATGGGATGGTTAATTAATGCCTGTGTCTTAGAAGATCTGATTTCTGGCCTAGACATCCATACAGTCAAGGGACTGGCAGTGATTGGTCCATTGACTAGGGACTTGAGTGGGATTTACATAGTGATTTTCAAGGATGTCCTCCTGCATGGTGAGGGGAGGGGCCCTAAGTCCCAATATATGATAGATGAAAGCCTACCCAGTCTTCTAACCTTGGGTATCTCAGCTAAGGGCCCTTCTCCCACATGCATTGTAAACAAAGGCTGTCTCAATATTCTGACCTTGGCCACCTTGGGTAGTTATGGCCAAACAAAGGGGTAGGAGATCATCTCTTATTGATACATATATTCAGGGAAAACTAAGATGGAAGGGGTTGGGGGAGTGGTTCAACAAGCCAAGTAGAAAGTTTCCACAGCAAATTAAAATTGTATCACAAATCAGAATTACAAGATGGATTGAGGTTACAAAATGAAATTTAAGAATTGTCAAGGGATCATACAGTAATGCATATTTCCACTACAAAGACAATCCTTTTACTCTTTCTTAATTGATTATCAGATTCCTCTGAGTGGCTGTTTTAAACCTTTTCTTCCCTTCAAGCTTCCCACAATGCTCTGCCCCCCCATCCTCTCAGCTT